AACGACTGTGGCAAAAGAAAGCAAAGATGGTACCAATAGTTACAGGCGCCTTGGGTGCAATCCCAAAACATCTGGAGCCCCACTTGAAGACCATCAGCACTGACAAAATCACCATCAGTCAATTGCAAAAGGCAGCTTTACTTGGAACACCTTATATCCTGCGATGATACCTTTAATATTATTTAACAACAATATCTGCCTATCTCAGGTCCTTGGGAAGGATAGGTGGATAAAAATGCCAAATCCAGTCTAAATGTCTGGCTGACTGTTGTGCTACCAACAACAACAACATTTGAAATTGTCCCCCAATAGTATTACACCCACACCCAAATGAAGCCCTACTATCAGCCAATAGTCAGGTTCCCTTTGAAAGCACCCACGCGAAACACTTATACAAAGCCAATATTCTGGTGTTAATGGGAGAAGAAGGGGGAAAAACCCCCACTAAGAGATTTTGGTGTACAAATACTAAATATAACACCTTTGGCCAAGTCACTCTCTCTCAACCCAAGCCATCTCACAGGGTTGTTGTGGGGAAAATAGAAGGTTGGGAGAATTAAGTATGTTTGCTGCCTTGAGTTATAAATATAAAAGGCAGGATAAAAGTATAATAAATCACCATCATCTAAATAATTTTAAATAAAATAAAATTTAAATAAATAAATTTGGGGAGCCAGTTTGGTGTAGTGGTTGAGGTGGTGGCCTAGAAACCAGGAGACGGAGAGCTTCAGTCCTGCCTTGGGCGTGAAAAAGCGGCTGGGTGACTTTGAGCCAGACTCTCTCTCAGTCCTAGTGTGAGAAAAATATATCTTTGGGTGAATCTTTGGGTGAAAAAGACAAGTTTTCAGAGCCCTCAGATGAATGGGATCGCCTTAATAAGATTGAAACATAAAGGAATGTGAAAGCATCCTTGAAGCTGATGTGAAGTTGTAAACTCCTTATCATAAACATTCCCATAGTAACCTGGGCATCTGCCCTGAGAGAAGATGCCTTCTTCCTGGCATTTGGCACCT